GCCCTGCACCACACCATCACATGCAGCTCCCCAGGACTGAGCCAATTACGAACCACAGAGGAGCTCAAGGGGATGAAGCCTCTTACCAGGGACTGCAGCTTGAGCATTACCAGCTTACGGGTCAGAAGCAGAGCACACACCAAGCCCCAGCTTACAGGGATGCCGCTGCTGCAGCTCACATGTGAGCACAAGCCCAAAGGACCGAGCCCCAGCATCTGCACTGGGTGTGCAACCTCTGGGCTCATGAGGACAAATCTAGACCATGCACTGAAAAGGGGTCTGGGGCCAGTCTGTCCTACAGGGACACATCTGCTCCATCGCTGTCACCTCAGGCATCACAACTCTTGTTCTACCAAGGGACAACCCAAAGGGCCCCAGCAGCACTTACCACCACTGTCAGTCAACACCCAGCAAATGCTTTCTCCATCCTTCCTCTCTGACAAGGGACCACCATCGGGACACAACTCTCCTCTGTTACTCTAAATGCAGATGTGACACCCAGTCACAAGGAGACGGAGAAACCCCCAGGAGCTGCCCAGCAGAGAACACAGCCTAGAAACATCCCAGGGTAGATACACAACAAACCAGCACGGCGTCTTCAAAAACGTTAGGCCAGATCTTGGGCAAGCCCAGCTCTTCTGTAAGCCATTTGCAGGTGAAACCTGTAGACATTAGCTGTTCTGGGGAGATTCACATCATCTGGGAGCAATCTTGGGCACGCTGGCAGCTCCTTTGACCCTGTGGCACCCAGCCCACGGTGTAGCACACAGCTCAGGCATTTAGTGCTTTGGGGGCTGTGAAGGGCATGTGTTTGCTCTTCAAGTGTCACAGCCATGGCCATGGTCTCTGCAGTGTGCAGGGAAAGCCCAGATCCTCAATGCATACATACACAGCCACGTGTCGTGTGTAGCCTGATTTATAGCAGGGATGGGGCTGTCAGGTGTTGGACTGGCTCTTTCCAAAGACAGGGATGAACTGCTCAATGGGACCCCAGCTCACAGCTCCCCGTCTGTATCTTAGTGGTGATTTTACATCCTCTTGACATTATCCTTCTACCAGCTGACCTAAAGGATGTCAACTATCCTCAGTTGGAGAAGGGGAAAGGGGGTTGAGAGGGAACTGAAGTGACATGGCAGAGGCCAGCCAGAGGGAGTCAGTGTCAAAGGAAGGACTAAACCTCCTGAATCTCAGCCCGGCCTGGTTCTCTGTCAGGGCCACTATGTGTGTAGGGGACAGTTTTCCTGCAAAGTGTCCCGTGGCTCTGACCATGTGAATGCATGGTGCCCATGGAGTGGCTGATGCTGGTTGTCTTGGTTCCCCCAGGAGAGGTCAGATGTGCAAATGCTCACACATGAGCCATCCCGAGGAATAATTTAATTTAATCCCTTTTTTTACCTCCATCCCCACCCTGGCAAAGCAAGAGCCGGGCAGATCTGCATGATTTTTGAGGTCACAACTTTGCTCTTGGATAAAAATCTTAAAAAAACTCAAAACCCCACCCCCTAAAGCCACCCCCCCAAAAAAAAAAAAGTGTGGAAGAAAGAGAAGGAGAAAGGAACAAGCCTGGGAAGCCGGCTCTGCACTTCACCCCGGCTGCCTGGGACAAGGGCCTCTTTGTTTTCCTGGCCGGAGCCTGATGCACTGGCCCTTTTCAGTCTCACTCCCTGGGAAAGGGGCCAGGGGGAAGCAGGCACAAGCAGGGCAGGCAAAAACCCTGGGGCTGCAGTGAATAACCCCTGCTTGGACTCCCACCAGGCCCCTCATCTTCATATAGCCAGTCCATATAGCATCTGCCAGAAACAGCACTGGGAGAAAAAGGTGCCCGGGAGCCCCTCAGGTCTCTGCTTCCCATGCACCATCCCTGAAAATGAACATGCTCGTGTTCCTGCCGTGCAGGAGGTTTTAAATTTCTCTGTGTCTTTTGGACTTGACAATCCTAAAGCACCTGCTGAAATGCATTGAAGCACCCAGCTGGTGTGTAGTCACCTGTCTGCAGCTTTGCCGGGTCCTCAGGCATGTGGCAGCATAGGCTTGTTGGGGACAAGTCACCCTCATCTCCTCCCACCCCAGAGACACTGCCGGGGTGTCCCCAAGCCTATGGGCACAATGACAAGGCGCTGATGCTTGTGGATTCAGCCAGCCAGGCAGGACACTTGTTGCAGGGATCAGATCTAAGTTTGGAGAGGTGTTTCTCTTATTATTTTCTTGCATTGAAAAACCCCGAGATCTGCCTGGCTGCCAGCAATCCCCTTCTGATCCCAGTCGCAGGGAGCTGGGGCTGGGAAACACACAGCAGCCTCCCCCAGGGCTGTCGGCTGCTCTGGGCTTTCATCAGCTCTAATGAGAGTCACAGGTGCTCTTTCCAAGCATGTCCATCTGTCTGTCTGGGCTGGAGGTCAGGTTTGAGCCTGCTTTTGTACACTAATACAGCAACTTTCTGCAGGCTGGGATCATGGCATCCTGCAGGGCTCCTTACGCCCTGCCCTGCACAGAGAAGACATGAGCTGGATGGATGATTGGCATCCCGGCATGGTCTAGGAGATAAAGTCCCAGGAGAGAAGAGGAGGTGAGGAAATAGTTTCCACACCCCTGGGGAGCAAGGTGCTACAGGGCAGCCAGGGACTCATCCTGCCCTGCCAGGAGATGTGTAAACACCCTCTGCTCCTGCTTATTTGTACAGCTCTTCGCCTGAGTGCAGAGGACCGTGACAATGTGCCCAGCTAGCCCCAAAATGCAATGCTGGCTGCTCTGGGAGGGCCCTGCTGTAGCCAGGCTGGCCCAGCACTCTGCAGCCAGGTCCCACATCTGCGATGTTCTGTTTCCCATCCTTCACAGGATGGTGCTTATTAGAAAGCAGGGTGGGAAAACAAAAGCAATCTCTCCCCAAGTCAAAAAAAAAAAAAATTCCTCCTCAAGGCTGTATCTTCTTCCAGGAAAAGCAGGTATTTGCAGTGTGCTGCACCAGCATGGCTTGGGGCTTCAGGGACACACATGCTGTTTGACCTTATCCCATGGGGACGGGCAGGGTGGCCCTTGCTGGCCTCTCCATCCCCGTACCAGAGCTAGGAGGATATTTGCATCCCAGGGATCCCTTCCCAGAGGGTCCAGGTGCCCCTTGGTCCTTCGGGGAGGGGGCTGTGGGAATCAGCCCTGACTCTGCTCTCTGTTACTGCTCTGACCAGCAACCACCAGGACGGAGGGGAGATGGTGCAAGGCTTTGTTAAAGTAAATAAAGTCAAGGAAAAGGCCTCCAACATGTTTCCTCAGCAACCACGATGTCACGCGGGATGTCTGGCATCCCAAGGGAAAAGAAAGGGAAGCAGAAAGCAAAGGGGAGCTGGGGACAGTCTCCTGGCAACGCTGGGGACAGTAATGTTCTTCTGCCAGGGGGACATGGCTCCAGCACGGGGAGCCTGGCCAGCCCTTGTGGCCAGAGCGGTGGGATGGGGAGGGCATCCCTGTGTCTCCTGGGAGGGAGGTGACAGCATGATGGGCACAACCACGTTCCCAGGGATGCCCGCTTGCTTCCTGGCCATGGCAGCCTTACTAAGCCCTGATTTACACAGTATGTGTCCTTGATTTGTAGTGCAGTGGGAGCTTAGCCCCTTCATATCCCTCTCTTAATTCAAGATGTTTTCTGGTGATGATGACCACGCATCTTCCTGCAGTGCTGGGGCCTGGCAGCAGGCAGGGCAGGGGCTGGGGACGGTCCCTGCGCAGGCTGTCACTGCTGCCTGCCGGGGAGCACCTCACACACCCGGACCTGCCGTGGCCACGCTCCCCCCACTCTCAAACCCTTGTCATCTGAGCTATTTATCCCATCCTGGCTCACTTTTAACAGACAGCAGTGAGCAGCTCAGGCAGCGGGGATTGAGCCAGCAGGAGCTATCAGGGGAGTCCACATGGGTGTGGATGACTTGAGGATGGGGAGAGGGGACTTCTACTGCCTTTTGCAGTGCTCCAGACCGAGGGGTCACCCTGCAGCCAGCAGCAAGGTCCTGCCACCCCCCAAGCCCCCTCGTCAGGCGCAGCTCAGCTGTGAAATGCACCGCAGATGGTGCTGGAGCTGGGAGCAAACGGGGTCAGAAAGCAATTAGCCCAGGTCCTGCAGGGCAGCCCCTCCGGCGCCCACTCAGCTCTGCCATCCTGACCTAAGCAGCAGCAGAAAAAGTCTTTAAACCCCTCATTACCAGGAGCAGCCAGGGAAGGATCACTCTCTCTTTGCCCTTTTCTTACTTCCTTTTGCTAAGCCTCCAGTGCTGGCCCCTGCCAGAAGAGGACACTGAGCAAGGCAGCACGTTGCTCAGACCTGTTATCATGGATGCACATTTAATTTGCCTCTTAATACACCGTTACGTACCTAGGAATGGACTAGCCAAGCCAAACACTATTTTTTATTGCTGTGTGTTGATCCGACAGGGGAAATCGATATGTTCCTCTCAACACCACGAGCAACCTGATACCTCAGACTAAGAGAAACAGAAATAAAGATACAGGTTTCCAAGGGAGCATGGATGGGTCCTCCCCTCACAGCAATCTGTGCTGGGATGTGGGGCCCCTGTGGATAGTAGGTAGATGCAGGTGGTACCCAGAAACCAAAGTCATTGTGGGGATATGCTCGTCAGAGCTGGGCACGCTGCGGCGACATGAGGGTGTCACTGCTGGATGGGCTGGGGACATGCAGCAGTTCCCCCCAATACCCCGTGTGACCTTTTCATTGCAGGGGCTCTTCCCACCACTGCCGTTGTCTGCCCTCTCCTGCCCGCAGCAGCAGGCAGAGCTGGCTCCTGCCTTCTGCTCTGCAAGCAACGACAGCTACTGGGAAATTCTTCGGCCTGAGCTTTAGCTGAGCAAGACCTGGGGTCCTGGCATTTGGGGCCAGCCAGATGGACAAGCCGTGCCCAGTGTCGGGGTCACTTCTGCAGAGCAGCTGGAGCAAAACTGAGCCAAGACGGGGTTCCAGGCTGGGGGGCTGGCGGGTGTCCCTGTGCAGACCCCTCCAAAAGGGCTTTCACCCAGACCCCATCCCCTGAGCATGTTTCTCTTTCTGCTTCTTGCTACAGGTTCATGAATCACCGTGTTCCGCCCAACCGCAGGTACCAGCCGACGGAGTATGAGCATGCGGCAAACTGTGCCACCCATGCAGTGAGTCCCTGTCCGTGTCCTAGGGTGAGGGAAGACAGTGCTCAGCTCTTCAGGGATCCCCTGGGGAACATCAAGGAATGCCTAATCATGTCCGTGTTCAGCTCTGGAGCAGCTGCTGAGGGTCTCAGGGCTGTGATGAGGCTGATGTGCCCCAGGTACTCCCAGGGAGCACAGACATTCTCCCTCCTTCTGCCCTGGGAAGCTGGTGTGCTCTTGCTCTTTCCCACCGTGGCCCCATGGACCCAGGGAAGTTGGTGGGGGGTTGAGTGGAGCAGGAGTATTTTGCAAAGATCCCTGAAAATTCAGTGTTCTTCACAGCAGGAACAGTGACAGGCACGCCATGGGGCTGCCTACATGGCAGTGGGAACCCGCGGTCCCTGCATCAGGGTTTTCCTTGGGAGCTGGTAGCTCCCACTCTGAGCCCTAGAAGATGACTCAGAGGTAGATACCCTCCCTCCTTGTGCCTTTCTCCTCCTCCCTACCTCCACCTGGAGAAGCTATTTTGGAACTCCACCAGGCAGGAGAGACCCTTTCTGGCCTGTGCGGGTGGCCAGCCTGCGCCTTATGGGTGATAGCTTTGCCTAGAAGCAAAAGAAACATCTAAAAGGAAAAGCAGATACTGTATTGTAGTTGCTCAATGGAAACACAGAGAATCAACAAATTTGCTTCTCCCTTTCAGTTCTGGATCCTGCCCAGCATTCTCGGCAGCTCCATCCTCTACATCCTCTCTGATGACCAGTGGGAAACCATCTCAGCCTGGATCTATGGCTTTGGCTTGTCCAGCCTCTTCATTGTCTCCACCATCTTCCACACCATCTCCTGGAAGAAGAGGCATCTCAGGTACCAGCCCTGATTGCTTGAGGCTCGGAAAAGGTGAGAGGGTCCAGAGGCCTCTGGTGCCAGAGGCTGTGACCCATCTGTCTGTCTGTCCCGCAGGACGGTGGAACACTGCTTGCACATGTTTGACAGGATGGTGATCTACTTCTTCATCGCAGCGTCGTACGCTCCCTGGTGAGCTGCTGGTGGGTGGGGGCCATTTCTTGACCCCAGCGAAGGGGAGAAAATCAGCCCAGATCCAACAAATAGGGTTTCACTCTCTGACTTTGGTTCTGCTCAAGGCTGTACCCTGCCCCTTTCTACAAAACCTTCCTATCCTCTACATTTTAACCACTTTAAGTTGAAGTTACAAGTTAGGAAGACCCTTTGGTGGAACAGCCATGGGGGCGAGGGCAGCATTTCCCTGGCACCTCGCTGCCCACAGCCTGGACTGGGGGGTGCTGCCCTAGACCTGCCTCACCACAGACCTGGCTCTTGCAGGTTGAACCTGAGGGAGTTGGGTCCATGGGCCTCCCACATGCGCTGGATCATCTGGATCATGGCGTCTGTCGGGACTGTCTACGTCTTCTTCTTCCATGAGCGGTGAGTACCTTTACCTGGCTGCATGCTGGTGGCTATCACAGACCCCAGCTCAGCTCTGCCAGCCCCTCTTAATGCCCCGACGGTAGTCAGGCTGCAGGGGAGAGCAAGTAGAATGGAGATGGACAGACAGACAGCTATCTAGCCAGGTACAGGGTCCCTGGGCATCCTCCTGGTCAATTCACAGTGGAGAGCTGCCTTGGACCTTGTCCTTCCCCATCCGCACCCTGGTTTGAGGACCTTTGGTGGCAGGGACGTGGGAGCAGGGATGAGGGAGCAGGGACGTGCTGCCATGAGTTGCTTCTTCCACACGGTGGCACCAAATAGAAAGCAAAAGGCCCCCGATGTCTCCCTGAAGCCCCATGAGCTGGCCCTGAGCTGGCAGCTCCCAAGCCAGGGTGGGGGTCCATCACCCCCGGAGCAGGGTGCCATCCCCGCCGCGGTGGTGGGGCTGACACATGAGGACATGGGACGTGCTGTGATGGCACCTCCACCCCTTTTTCTATAGCATGGCAGTGGACGTTACAAGCTTAAAACTCAACGCTCCCCCTGCACCTGTCTCCAAGCAGCTTCTCTGTTGGTCGCAGGTACAAGCTGGTGGAGCTGGTGTGCTACGTTGTCATGGGCTTCTTCCCTGCCTTGGTCATTCTCTCCATGGTAAGCCACTGCTCGGAATCACATGGGCTCAGCACGACGGACAAATCCCAGCAGGGCCAGTTTGTCTCTGGTGGGTTGGTGTGGGCCAGGCTGTGTGGTGGATAAAGCTGTCCCCAAATAAGATGTAGCCCAGCTTGGTTTTGCAAATGCTTTGGGTGCCCAGCAGATACCATGTGTATCTCCAGTGGACCTCCTGCCCGGGCTCCACTGAGTTGTAGTCCTCCCAGCAAAGCCGGGCTGCTGCGTCCCCACTGCCTCGCTGGAGGGGAGGGGGTAGCAGAAGGCAGGGTGAGGGTCCTGCCTTCACCCTGCAGCTGGGGCCATGCTTCTGGTCTCGATGGAGTGGTGGGGAAAGGGCAGGCATGCCATGGCCATCACTGAGCCCTGCCTGCCCGCTTGCTCCCAGCCCAACAGGGATGGTCTCCCGGAGCTGGTGGCCGGCGGACTCTTCTACTGCCTGGGCATGGTCTTCTTCAAAAGCGATGGCCGCATCCCCTTCGCCCATGCCATCTGGCACCTCTTCGTGGCCATCGGAGCGGGCATCCACTACTACGCCATTTGGAGGTACCTCTACCGGCCCGGCGCGCTGGAGGCTAAAACATCCCGGTAGATGCCTTAAAGACATCGTTTGTGCCAACCGGCACACGGGGCATGGGGGGGAGCGGGGAGGCAGCCTGTGCCGTGGGCTTGCCCCAAACCACCCGGTCGCCCCACAGGCAGCAGCCACTGGTGCCCTCCCACACAGAGAGGAGAGCCTGGAGGTTGATTTTAAACAGATTTTTCTTTTTTAACCTTGGGAACTGTTTTTTAGGCAAAGATTTCATAACACAGTGGCTGACTGATGGGTTGCGGGCAATAAGGGAGTGACCCCTTGCCAAGGGCTTGGGGAGGCCTCGCTCACCTGCCTGACCCTCAGCATTCCGTGGGACCAGGGGCCCTGCATGCCCCTGGCTAGTGACACCCTGGGTTTGGCTACCGGAGTCCTTAGGCCACCCAGGGGACTGGAGGTGCCCTGGGATGCCTGGGTGTGCAGCTGCCCCACCCAGGGAGGGGGGCACATCAGCACCCCTGCACCACCCAGGCTGGGCTCCTAAATGGTCCTAAGTTGTGTCAGCATTAACTGCCCCCTCCCAAGGTCTTGGTGGGAAGGTCCAGAGGCAACAAAGCCTTACAGGAGATTGAAACTTGAATCTCTTCCAGGGTGCCCCTGAGCCCCCAAGCACTGGAAAACCCTTTCTCTAAGCCAGTATTAAGTGCACAACTCAGTACATCAGCCCTTTGATGGGCCCTGAAAGCCTCCACGGATATTTTCTCCCTGGGGTGCTTTGTTTTCCTCTCCGGTCTCAGTGCTGGGAAGCACGTCCCCGCTCCCAGGCTCTGCCGCATGTGCCTTGGGCAGGGAGCAGAGCAGGGACTGGCTCCCGGCATCCACCTGGCTGGGGTCAGCCCATCCGCATCATGGGATTTTCTTTCTCCTCGAGGGAGGGAAGAAAACCTCCTTGGGTTGGGATCACAGGCCTGCCTGCCTCTCTGCTCCCATTTTGATGACGAACCTCTTGCTCAGTATCAGATTTAAATCCACTTCTGGGAGGGATTCTGACATTCCTGTGAATGCCACAGGGAAGGGACGCATCCATGTGATGCTTAGAGGTGAGCTGTGATGGGAGGCTCCTAGTAATGCTTGGTTTTTAAAAAATTCCTAACCACGGCTGCATAGTGCTCTCCAAGCAGAATAACAGGACTGCCCAGCTATCAGGAGCAGCCCCGATGCTGCTGGAATGGAAAAACCACACCCGGTCCGACTCCCAAACACGCCAGCATTGCTGCTGGAGCCGGGAGGGTCTGGTGCGTGCCGGGCTCTGTGCCGGGCTCTGTGCCGGGGCCGGCCAGCAGAGCAGTGCTGCTCTCAGCCCCGCCTGCACCGTCCCTGGGAGCCCCCAAAGACATCGATTTCCCATCCTCTCTTTTTGGCCTCTTGATTAATCGCAACTGCAGTAGTCTCAGCATGACGTGGCAAGTGAAGGAGATTTATGGCCACTGTCCCACATCTCCTGTTTCTCTGGCAGTGTGCCGAGGAGCCGAGCTCCTGGCTCTGGCCCACCTCTCACAGAGCTTTGGGTCCCTCCAGCCTGCGGCACCCCGGGACTGGGTCTCCAGGGCCATGACACTTGGCAGCAAATTACCAAAGAGAAAGCGTCCCGATACTCTTCCCCTCCTGATATGGGGACAGTGGTCACCAGGATGGCAAAATATCTGGTGGGATTTCACCTCCATAGGCAGAAGGTTCCTGTAAGGGTCTCTGGGTGCTGTGCCTGGCACCCCAACCCAGCATGGGGCTGTTGGGGCGTCTCTGCCCAGGGCATCCCAAAGCAGCCTTTGGACTGGGACACCTCTCAGGATGATGGGTGGTCTTCGGGACAGGGGGTGAATGACCCAGTCTGAGCCCAGTCTCTGCTGCTGCCTCTGCCAGGCCTGCAGGTCCCAACCCTTGCTCTGTCATTTACTGCAGATGGAGGGGTAGAGGAGATCGAGCTGTGAGTAACCAGCAGTTGGTGGGGCATGTCTGGGGTTGGAATAGTGGGAAATGGGGTCCCAGAGCAGAAGAAGCCATCTTTTCTATCTGGAAAGTCATTACCCTTCTCTGTGCCTCAGTTTCCCCATCTGTAAAATGGGGGTGAAGACAATGACCTACCTCACAGGGCTCATGTGAGGACCCCATGAAGCACCTGGAGGACAAGCAATGTTTTACAAACATGTGCTTCAATTTTCATTGAGTGGGGGGGGCTGGATACCCAGAGCCACCGTAGGGCATGGTGACAACTGCGGCTCAGTGTGCCTCAGTCTCGTTCCCCCTCTGTCACTAAATCCCTCAGGGGAACCGCCCTGTGGACAGAGCATGCACACAGCACTCCCAGCTGCTGGGCAAATGTCCCGTGGCAGGAGCCCAGGGACCACCATCGTGTTTTGTCCACGGGCTTGACCCCATGGGAGTTATTTCAGAAGCCATTTCACCATTGGGTGTTTTTTGGCCCCAAATCCATCCCAGGGGCTCCTGAGGCACACGGAGGTGCCAGAAGGACCTTTCTGAGACCACTTCATCTCAGTCTTCTGCTGAAAACCCAGGGCAGGACAGATGCCTGGGTGGGAATGGGTGGCCAGGCTCTGTAGGGGACATTGCCACACTGCCTCAAGGCCGGATTTTCTGAGTGGGCTTCTCTGTAATTAGGAAGTCCTCCCTCTTCTCTTGCTTCCTAAATCCTTCCCTTGCAAAGGAGGGTGGGGGGCACAGAGCAGGTTATCAGATTGTCCTCCTATTTTATACTAATTTTAAATGATTCGTAACATTCAGGTTGCCTGTGGAGAAGGGTTTGAGGGATCTTTTTAGCATTTCATGTTTTTCACCATCCATTCTTGTTCAATCAGTATTTTATATTTAACACAGTGTTGGGTCAAATAAAAACAAATGTAAGGAAGATAATGCTAGCAAATATTGTTTCCTGTGGAGTAGGATTGAAATAAAAACTCAAGATACCTCACTACTGCCTGCTTGTTAAATCAAAATTAGTTTCCCTGCAGCATCTGGAAATAAACCCACATGGCATCACTTCCCGGTGAGGAGGGGAGCCACTCAACCAGCTGCAGCGAGGCCCTGCTCACGGCGATGGAGTGCTGAGCACTGACTCACCTCGGTGCATGGATGACATTGCCATCTGCTGGCTCAGCTTGCC